CTGGGGGCCCTAATCTCGTCTGCCTGTTCTGCCTAGCAAAGCACCCGTGTTAAGGCTGGAAAATACATTTGTGATTCAATTCTGCAGCAGGCTCCTGACGGCGCTGGGTTCCAGGCATTAGTAGCAAATAGCCTGGCTCCCGTCTCCTTCAATTAGGCAGAGTCTGTGTGCATTAAACAGACTGTTTAGGGCAGGCTCCTTACTGCTTAGGAGAGGAAGACCACATTTGCCTTCCCAGGCCTGATGTGGAAAAGAGCGGTCAATAGCAGGTAAAGGTAAAGGTAAAGGTACCCCTGCCTGTACGGGCCAGTCTTGCCAGACTCTAGGGTTGTGCGCCCATCTCACTCTATAGGCTGGGGGCCAGCGCTGTCCGAAGACACTTCCGGGTCACGTGGCCAGCGTGACAAAGCTGCATCTGGCGAGCCAGCACAGCACACGGAACGCCGTTTACCTTCCTGCCAGTAAGTGGTCCCTATTTATCTACTTGCACCCGGGGGTGCTTTCGAACTGCTAGGTTGGCAGGCGCTGGGACCAAACAACAGGAGCGCACCCCGCCGCGGGGATTCAAACCGCCGACCTTTCGATCGGCAAGCCCTAGGCGCTGAGGCTTTGCACATGAAGAGACACCAAAAGCCATCAGGTTTTTACCAATTTCACTCTTGTGATACATACATACATACATACACACATACATACATGACAGCAGGTGTGGTGCAGTGGTTTAGGGTGTCAGTCAAATCCCCACTTGGCCATGAAGGTCACTGGGTGACTTGTTGGGGGCTAGTCACTGCCTCTCAACCTAACCCTGCCTTGAGGGTTGTTGTGGAGATTAAGTGAGCTCCTCTGATGAAAAGTGGGATACAAATGCAATAAAAAGTGTGTGTTTGGGGGGAGGAGGAGGAAATAAATGAATAATTAAATATATGCAATTATCTATCTAATCTATCCAGCCCTACACATACTTTGGCAAGCAGTACGGGCCAGTCGTGTCCGACTCTAGGGTTGTGTGCCCATCTCACTCAAGAGGCCGGTGGCCAGCGCTGTCCAGAGACACTTCCGGGTCACGTGGCCAGCGTGACATCGCTGCTCTGGCGAGCCAGAGCCGCACACGGAAACACTGTTTACCTTCCCGCCAGTAAGCGGTCCCTATTTATCTACTTGCACCCGGGGTGCTTTCGAACTGCTAGGTTGGCAGGCGCTGGGACCGAACAACGGGAGCGCACCCCGCCGTGGGGATTCAAACCGCCGACCTTTCGATCGGCAAGCCCTAGGCGCTGAGGCTTTTACCCACAGCGCCACCCGCGTCCCATATCAATAATAGCTTCTACCATATCAATAATATGGAATAGCTTCTACAATATCAATAATAAGAATAGCTTCTACCATATCAATAATAGACTTGCCTCCCTCATTTCATTAGCTGCCTCTCCTGGGCTGCTTTACCAATGGCTCATTGGGGGCCACTTTCTGATCTATTAGTTTCTGGAAAAGCACCTCTTGTTCTTGCCAGAGATGTATTTCCCTCCGCAGGAGTTATTTCATTAACGCAGCCTGAGTTTTAATGCAATAATCTTTGAAGAAGTTTCCAGTAACACAGGAATCATGCCAACACTATCTGCATTAGTTGCATTAGGATGTAAGAAGTGGCAGCTGCTGGATCAGGCCAAAGGGGCACCATCTGGTCCATTATGTCACAGTCCGGTTCACAGGTGATCGAAGTCCCGGCCGGGGATGTCAGGACCGGGGGCAAGATGGCGGGGTGGGAGCAGGAATGGGGGTCCGGAAGCCAGAAGTCAGGAAGCCAAGAGTCCGGGGGTCAGGAAACTAGGAGTCATGAAGTCAAGGGTCCGAGGACCAAGAAGCAAGGAGTCACAAAATCAAGGGTCCAAGGATCCAAGAGTCAAGAAGCCAAGGTTCAAGGGTCAGGAAGCAAGCAGCCAAACACAGCAAGGCAGGAAACGTGTTGCTGTGGCAAAGAGCCGAAGGGAAATGCTGACCTTATATCCCTTCCCGGCTCTTGCCACCAGGTGCTGTGAGTTACCAATTGGCCTCACCTGTGCGGCCGCGCCTTACCTCTCCAGAACAAACTTAGGAAGGCCCCAGTCCTGCAAAGTCCTACTGGTCACAGGCCCTGGCTCCTGCACGCACACCTGACACATCATCCTGTTCTCACAGTGGCCACCCAGATGCTGCAAAGGGAAGCCCAAAAGCAATGCTCTCCTCCTCTGCTTTCCAGCACCTGGGATTCAGAAGCAATGCTGCCTTCAATTGTGGAGGCAGAGCACACCGACAGCCCTCTCCTCCTCCATGAATTTGTCTCTTCCTGTTTTAAAGCCATCCAAGTTGGTGGCCATCACTGCCTCCTGTGGGAGGGAGTTCCAGAGATTAACTATGCACCACCTAAACATTTCCAAAACAGGCCCCATGAACGAACGTTCCTCACTGGGCTTGAGCCTCAATAACCGTTCTAAATTCTGCCTAGATCAATTGAATTTCAGTGGTTAAAGCAGAAGGGGCATAATCCAGGGAAATCTAGGCAATTTCCAACTCCTGCCAATTTCAACATTTATCCAGCACAACTTTAAAGCCCCCCCCCTCCCCTTGAAACCAAAGGGGTATTGATCCTGGCAGCATTGCAACACCATTTTACGCGGGGCAAATGAGGCAGGGGGAAAAGGCACAATCCTGTTCATCGGGGCTTTTCGTTTCCATTTTATTTTTGCCTTCCAAACAAATAAACAAACAATGAAAATAAATATATAAATAAATAAATAACCACCACAGGACATCAACTGGAATGTAGGTTCATGCACAGGTAACACCAATGATTAAATAAGCAGCATTTGAAATGACTGTATGACCTTCCTTGTCTTACATTCAATTTGCATTCCTCTACATTTATACACAGACACTTAAAAGTCTCTCTATCTGGACATGCATTGCATTCTCCAATAGGAAACGCGTACTTCCGGACACTCAAAAGGGAGGCTGGGGCAGAATCTGTGGGGAGCATCTCTTGGGTGAAAACACGTCCAACCAGAGGAACACCTGGGACATTTAATTTCGTGCTGTTAAGATGAAGACCATGATCATCTGCAGGCGGCCAATGGGATTACAGCACAACCGCATCTTAAACAGAGTTTCGCTTCCAAGTGTTTTGTGTATACCACTAAGGTCGCACATACGCAGCCCCTTGGAGCTGCCCCAGCTGGCAGGTGAGGGGGGGAACCGCAGGACTCCTGGAGCGGGTGCACTGAGCAGGCCTTGCCCCCCCCAAGCAAGGTGGAGAGCTCAAAAGCTCTTTTCATTTGGGGTTACCTTTTAAGATCTCCACCTTGCTTGGGGGAGGGGAAGCGGCAAGGCCTGCTCAACGCACCACTTCTGGAAGACCAGGGATGCTCATGGAAGATTTCACCGGACCTCAGATTTCCCTGCGAGATCTTGCAAGAGCATCCCAGAGCTAGCGCACTGTCTGGGTCTTGGCCTCATCAAGCAAGGCTTAAATGCTCTTTCCGTAGTGGGTAACCACAAAAGGACCTGGCGCAAAAAACGCTTTTGAGCTCTCCGCTTTGCTTGGATTTAACTTGCACAATTTCAACTGCATATGGTAGAAATTGTGCAGGTTAAATGCACATAAGAGGCCACTGTACTGTATTTAACTTTATGTGGCACCTTCACTACTACAAAATAAAAAAATTCCTTCCAGTAGCACCTTTTGTTGTTGTTTAGTCGTTTAATTGTGTCCGATTCTTCGTGACCCCATGGACGCCAGGCACCTCTGTCCTCCACTACCTCCCGCAGTTTGGTCAAACTCATGCTGGTAACCTCGAGAACACTGTCCAACTATCTCGTCCTCTGCCATCCCCTTCTCCTTGTGCCCTCCATCTTTCCCAACATCAGGGTCTTTTCCAGGGAGTCTTCTCTTCTCATAAGGTGGCCAAAGTACTGGAGCCTCAGCTTCAGGATCTGTCCTTCCAGTGAGCACTCAGGGCTGATTTCCTTAAGAATGGATGCGTTTGATCTTCTTGCAGTCCATGGGACTCTCAAGAGTCTTCTCCAGCACCATAATTCAAAAGAATCAATTCTTCGGCGATCAGCCTCCTTATGGTCCAGCTCTCACTTCCATACATCACTACTGGGAAAACCATGGCTTTAACTATACGGACCTTTGTTGGCAAGGTGACGTCTCTACTTCTCAAGATGCTGTCTAGGCCTGTCATTGCCCTTCTCCCAAGAAGCAGGCGTGTTTTAATTTCGTGGCTGCTGTCACCATCTGCAGTGATCATGGAGCCCAAGAAAGTAAAATCTCTCACTGCCTCCATTTCTTCCCCTTCTATTTGCCAGGAGACCAATTAAGTTTCTTATTGGTATGAGCTTTTGTGTGCATGCACACTTCTTCAGATACTACTACAGTCGTACCTTGGAAGTCAAACAGAATCCGTCCCGCAAGTCCGTTCGACTTCCAAAATGTTTGAAAACCAAAGCGCAGTTTCTGATTGGCTGCAAGAAGCCCCTGCAACCAATCGGAAGCCACAGAAGCCCCGTAAGACGTTTGGGTTCCAAGAGAAACCCCGTTCGAAAACTGCAACACTCACTTCCGGGTTTTGATCGTTCGGGAGCCGATTTGTTCAGGAGCCAATGCGTTCAAGATCCAAGGTACGACTGTACAGGCAAGTTACGGCAGACTGACTATCCATCCTTCTAACATATTCTACAACACGACTGTTTTATAAAGTTCCAGGAACTTTTAGTAAAACACAACGATAACGAACTTTTCTTATTTAAATGCTTTTGCATACCTGACACCTTCCCATTTAAATGGCATTCTACGATAGGAATGTTTAATTCCAATTTGATTGTTGCCTCCCACTTTTTTGAGTTGCCACCGGGAGATGTTCCTTGCAGACTGTGCCTGCCACCAAGCAGCTGACAGGGATGACATTTGCCCAGGAAATGTCTTTGCCTAATTCCTTTCTCTAAAAAGGACCCAAAATGGGTGGTTTAAATTCTTCAACTCCTTTAGCAGCTCTCTAGTATTGCTTGTGGACCAGTCACCACAGGCTTTACATTCAAAATACCCAAGTAACCCTTCCAACAAATTGCTCAGCATGCAATGGGTACATTCCTAGAACCAAGATACAAATGGCATTCAAACGTGTGCTTGCAAAGGGAGACACATTTCAAACTGTATGTGTGAACTGTAACAAAGGAAAATGATGGACAGGGGAAAGCTTAAGCCGGGCTTCCTCAACCTTGGCCCTCCAGATGTTTTGAGACTACAGTTCCCAGCATCCCTGACCACTGGTCCTGCTAGCTAGGGATCATGGGAGTTGTAGGCCTGGCTTAAGCACATAAACACTCCTGCCTCTCTGCTCTTTCCCTGCTAAATGGGCAGGCTGGACTCAACAATGGGAAAATCAAGGCAGAAGCATTACAGATGCTCAGGAACAATTCTTTTGCGCCATCCATATCCCTCTGGGTCCTCACCTTCTGTTTCAGAATCAGTTTACCCCAAAACTCCCCCCATATTTTTTTATATAAATAGATAACAAAGAATTAGAAAGTCAGAGATCGGTCACACCTTAGGAAGCCTAACAGGTAAAGAGAACAACTTCAAGGCTAGGACCGTTGTTAAAAAGGGCAAAACCTGTGGGGGGAAACAAGAGCCCAGTGGTGGGTTTTAATTCCCTGACCCTCCATGGCTAGAGGACCACCTGGGGCAGCTGTAGAAAGACGTAGGAAAAGTTTAACATGCACAGGTGAGGAGGGAGGGCTTCCTGTCTGCCCCACCCAAAGGCACTGCGCCTCTAACTGCAGGCAGGGAATCTCTAAGTGCAGAGGTGGTGGGGAGGGGCTCATTGGATGTTTTCCAACTCTACAGTTCTACCACAAAGGATCTGAGTAACCCTAACCCTTTCCCTGCCAGCTGTAAGTCAGCCCCCAGCCACTCTAAACTGCTTGTCCACCTGCAGAATGGGGAGGAAGACCAGTTTCGAATGGATAAGAAGCTGTCAAGGAAAGAGTAAAACAGCCAGTTCTCCCCTGGCTGCCACTCCTCCTGACTGCAGCTTTACCTGAACAGACTGACAGACAAAGGGGGTGGAGATCACAGAACCACAATGATCTGCCCTGTGGCTTTTAAAGTCAGAGGTTTTGAATGAGAAAGAGGCACAAAATGAGTAACTCGGAAGTATTAAATATACTCTAGAGCAGCAGTTCCCAAGGTGGGTAGGATCACCCCCTGGGGGCAGTGGGATTTCCGGGGGGGGGGGGACTAAGAGGCAAGGGGGTGGCAAGGGATGCTGGAGGTGTAAATGACAAGCAGACCTTGAAAAGCTGGTCTCACTGGATCCAGTTCATCAGTTCTGTTGAATCAATTTAACTACATAGTGATTTTCCCTAGTGGGTCATGCAAACCAGTATTGAGGAACAATGCTTTTCATAGGGGAGGGGGCAGTGGGGGTTGAATTTATGGAACCAAGGGGGCAGCGGCCTGAAAAACATTTGGGAATCGCTGCACTTCAGCATTCAAGGACCTTGTCTGAAGTCAGGTCAGCCTCAGAGCAAAAGTCGGGAATGCTAATGTAACCTAAATGGGCCTTCCCCAACCTGGTGCCCTCCAGATTAGAAGACTGAAGATGGTCAACAAAGGGGGGGGGGGGGAATGAAGGGCAGGCTAATCCTAAGCGCACACACACACACACCCCTGCCAAGTTTCCCTCTTGGAAGATTACGTTTTGCAGGAAGTGTTTCAGACAGGGGAAGACTTCTGTGTGTCGCTCACAGACAAACACAGTGGGTTTTACTCCAAAGTAAACTTGCAGAGGTTTGTGATGCCAGAGAGCTAAGAGGCCCGGCTAGCTGCCCAAGAGCTCTAAAGCTGCTGCTTGTGATATGCAACTGAGTTCTCGGCAGATCTGTGTGGTGCTGGCTCCCGGAGAGTTGCCAGAGGCTTGTGGATCTGTCCAGGAGTAATTTGGTGTCCGGTTATCGTGGTCTGCCTGACGGACTCATCCCGAGAGCCATCCCATGTCTGAAAAACCTACAACACCCTCACCCCATTCTGAGGAAATTCAGTGAGAGGGCGGGTGGGGAGGGCTGCCTTTGGGACACAGTTTTAGGTTTTGGGCACGCCTGTTGCAGACTTCTCGTCTCCAGAATCATCCTCGTCCTTTGACTCTCCCGAGTCATTGGACTCCTTGGGGCTGTCCTGGGACTCTGCCTTCTTGTCCTTCCGGATCGCCACTGTGCTGGCCGAGAACCCCTTGAAGCCGGCCAGGGGGCTTGAGAAGGGGTAGCCCAGGCCAAACGCACTGCTGCTGCTGCTGCTGCTGACGACGGTGCTCAGGCGGGTCTCTTCCCCTTCCAGCAATTTTCTGTAGGGGCAAAAACACACAAACCACGTCAGAACAACACTATGGATCTCTCAAGGTCCACCACTGATGCTTTAGAGCAGTGGTTCCCAAAGTGGGTGGTGGCGCCCCCTGGGGGCCGAGGTGTCAGGGAGTCCTTCACCCAGAAACACAGAGAAGATTCCAGAACCGTTGTATATAAGTGGGCGTGGCACCCTGAGCACATGCAGCTTCAGCTGGAAGCGCTGATAAAAGGAGAACTTCCTTTTTAGCTTTTCGCAGACAAGCGACCAACAAATGCTGTCTGTAAACTGCTGCATCCTGACTGCCGATGGGCTGTGTCTGCCTACGTCATTGCTAAAGAGAAAGAGGGACTGACACTTAAGTGTGCCGTCACAGCTATTGCTGTAATGATTGTACAGTGGTGCCTCGCAAGACGAAAAGAATCCGTTCCGCGATTCTCTTCGTCTAGCGGTTTATTCGTATTGCGAAGCAACCCCATTGACAGCTTAGCGGATTAGCGCTACAGCTGTCTAGCGGCTTTTCGCGATCAGCTGTTAAGCGGGTTATCAGCGGAACAGCTGATAGGCGGCTTAGCAGCTTAGGAAAGGGGGGGGGAGCGAAAAAAACCGCGGGGACGCGCAAGATTTTTTCGTCTTGCGAAGCAACCCCATAGGGAAATTCGTTTTGCAAAGCGCCTCCGCGACGGAAAACCCTTTCGTCTAGCGGGTTTTCCGTCTTGCGAGGCGTTCGTCTTGCGGGGCACCACTGTAAATAGTGCTACCATGATGCATTTATGACCAGTCAAGCAATAAATTACTTGGCTGAGTTGCACAGCGTCTGGGAGTGTAACTTCAATTGCTGGCCACTGTTTCCAGAAACTCTGCTAAATGGACAAAAGCTTCTAACGAGGTGCCTACACACGAGTATTCTCATGCAGCGAAAGTGTGATGACCTAGGGGGTGGCATAGGGGACACTGGAGGTGTAAGACTATCAGCCTTTGAAAATCTGGATCGAATGCATCAGTTTTCTTGAATTCTGGCTAGGTTTTTAGATTTTCTGTGAATCATAGTGGTTTGTTCAAACTGCTATTCTGAAATAATGCTTTTAATAAGGTAGGGGTCACTGGGGATGGGTTTAGGGAGCCAAGGGGGCAGTGGCCCTCAAAAAGCTTGGGAACCACTGCTGTAGAAACCCAACCAAGTACTTTTGAGAAATAAACCCTGCAGCATGTTGCCAAGGGCAGCACCAAGGACAGTGGCAGGGAGCAGCCAGAGGGCAGGCAAGTTTGCTGAAGCCAAGAAGGTCTGGGTCTTCTCAGCGCATGCACAGAAGCCTACCTAGAAACCACAGCTATCTACCTTGGGTTCCACATTTAAAAATAGAAGATTAAAAAAAGGGGAAAGTCATTGAAATTTGAGGGATTTTGCCGGAAAGGAACTAAATTGGCTTTAGTAGAAATGTTTTTAAGGAGAAATGCATGAATGTTTTGTGTTTTTGAAATTTTAAGATTTTTAACATAAGATAAGGTTAAATGGAGTAAGGTAAATTGAATAATAGATTTTAAAAGAGGGAAAGGCTATGTTGATTAATAAATAAAATAGAGTGTGACGATTAACTATTTAAATTAAAATTGAGAAATATGGGAAGAATTTGCTGAAATAACGAATTAAACTAGAATACAAAAAGGGAGGTGTGAGGAGGCTCAAGAACTAAGCAAATGAAAAATTGTAATTGGAGATTTGTATTTTTTTCTTTTTATTTTATTTTCTATTTTTTCTTTTTTGGGCCCTATAGGGTTGGGGATTTTCTATGTATTGATGAAACCTTGAATAAATATCATTTAAAAATAAATAAAAAAAAGGGAAAAGTCAGGAGAGGGCAACCAAGATGATCAAAGACCTGGAAAAGGAGCCAAGATCAGTTGAAGGAGTTGGGGAAGAAAAGACTGAGAGAGGATATGACTGTAATACCTCAAGGACCACTTCCTTCTGTAAGAACCGGCAAGGACCTTGCAATTATCCTGAGGCCCTTCTTTGTGTGCATCTTCCAGAAGAAGTCCGGAGGGTGGCAACACAAGAACAGGCCTTTTCTGTGGTGGCTCCCCATTTGTGGAATGCTCTCCCCACCTGGCGCCTTCATTACACAGCTTTACGTGCCAGGCGAAAATGTTCCTCTTCAACCGGGTGCTGGGCTGATTAACATTCTATGGCTTTCAAAATGTGTTTGTGGAAGGTTTGTCACTGGCTAGTTTGGGTTTTATTGTGTATCTTGTGTAGTCATTCTGTATTTTTCTGTTGTGAGCTGCCCTAGGATCTTCAGATGAAGGGCGGTATATCAATTTAAATAATATCAATAATAATATGTCCCATGGGAGATGGAGAAAGCTTGTTCCCTGCTGCTCCAGAGGGTAGGACTCAAATATCAGGCAGAATTTTTTGAGGGTAAGAGCTGTTCAATAGTGGTGGACTCTTCTTCTTCATCAGATGTTTTTAAACAGAGGTGGGCTAGCCATCTGTCATGGATTCTTTGGCTGAGATTCCTGCACTGCAGGGGGTTGGACTAGATGACTCTCAGGGTCCCTTCCAACTATACCATTCGATGTTTCAATGATTTGTGCAGGGGATGTTCCTGGTGGATGGTTTCCCCACCCCAAAATTAGCATGAGTTTATGTGGTGCTCAACCTCTGTTTCTCCCCCAAACAGCCCAAAGAATGGAACAGGTGAGCAGGAAGGGGGAGATGGCCCTCCTACCTGTACGCTGCTATTTCAATATCCAGAGCCATCTTCACATTCAACAGGTCCTGGTACTCCCGCAGGTGACGGGCCATCTCCCCCTTGGTTGTCCTCAGGGCATTTTCCAGCTGGCTGATGGTCTCCTGAAATGTATCACAATTTCTACGTAACATCAATACCTGTAGCACTTTAAAGCGTAACAAGGAAGGCGGATCCCCATCCCCGAGGTGCTGCCAATCAAAACCAGCCTTCCCCAACCAGGTGCTCTCCAACTGTGGACTACACATCCCATTAGCCTCAGCCAATTGCACTAGATGTTGGGAACTGTAGTCTAACCTTCCTGCATACGCTAAGATGAGGCTGGCCGGTTGTAAGAAGAGAGAACAGGACCGGATGGCAGAGACAGGCATGGGGGGATGCGATCATGTGCTGTGGGCAGGGGGACTGTCTGGAAAAAGCGGATTTTAAGGAGAAAGGTGTGCAGAGCTTTGGGACAGCAAGCAAGAATTGACAGAGGAAGAGCAGGGCTTGGAGAAAGGAGTTCATTGTCAGGGAGAAGATGGGGAAATAAGGGCAGAAGGAAAACAATAGGCAAGTAAAAGCAAGGACAATCTTTACAAATGTTCCCTGACTGATCTGTGGAGCACTACTCAACAGGCAGAGAGTTATGCAGATTAACTTAAAGAGGCAGCTGGAAAACAACCAAACCACGGTTTGTTAAAGACTCTTAGCTCCACAAACCGTGGCTTCCGTGTGACGCACCTGCAAGTCACGCATCTCTTTGCTGCTCCTCTCCTCGGCCTCCTGCAGCTGCCTCTCCAGGGACTCGTTGGCTCCGCGCAGGGACTCGATCTCGATGTTCCGGGCTTGCAGCTGCCGGCGATATTCGGAAATCTCCTCCTTGGCTTGGCGGATGCTGTCGCTGCTGCGAGCTGCCTCTTCAGTGAAGTTGGCAAACTTGGATTTGTACCACTCCTCAGCCGACTGCTGGTTCCGGGCGGACAGGACTTCGTACTGGGTGCGGATCTCTTTCAAGGCAGCCGTGAGGTCAGGCTTGCTCATGTCGATCTCAACGGAGACCTGGAGGGGAACAGATAGAGGGAAGGCCCTGTGGCAGGAAGAGGTCCACTCTTCCTAATGAGAGGCCCTGGGAATCTGCTCTATTTATTATGATGGTGGCTGGGAATGCAGTTATTATAATGCTTTATGATTTCAGTCATACCCTGTTTTCCCCCCAAGGAGCTTAAGGTGAGATCCGTGCAGATAAGCTCAGATTTTCACTAATATATCCATTCCTAAGTACACTTTAGGGATGTGTGTGGCGCTGTGGGTTAAACCACTGAGCCTAGGACTTGCCGATCAGAAGGTTGGCGGTTTGAATCCCTTTGATGGGGTGAGCTCCCATTGCTTGGTCCCTGCTCCTGACAACCTAGCAGTTCGAAAGCACGTCGAAGTGCAAGTAGATAAATAGGTACCGCTCTGGCGGGAAGGTAAACGGTGTTTCCGTGCGCTGCTCTGGTTCGCCAGAAGTGGCTTAGTCCTGCTGGCCACATGACCCGGAAGCTGTACGCTGGCTCCCTCGGCCAATAAAGCGAGATGAGCGCCGCAACCCCAGAGTCGGCCACAACTGGACCTAATGGTCAGGGTCCCTTTTACATTTAAGTACACTTTCCTCCATTGTATGTATTTTGGTGAATACAACTTAGAGAACTGCAAGGCAAAATTCAGAGAGGTGCAAATTTCAATGGGTGGTGTGTTGGCATATTTCGGCTGGCATACTGTTTCAGAATAATAATAATAATAATAATAATAATAATAATAATAATAATAATAAATTATTATTTTGTACCCCGCCCATCTGGCTGGGTTTCCCCAGCCACTCTGGCGGCTTCCATAGAAACCAAAAAACACTAAAATATCATACATTAAAAACTTCCCTGAACAGGGCTGCCTTAAGATGTCTTCTGAATGTCAGGTAGTTGTTTATCATTTTGACATTATCATTTTGACGGTTACCTGGGCAATTTCACCTTTAACTGTGAACAGAATTAAATTTCTCCCAGAGGTCAAGAATGCCCCCGCTAACCCCTCCTGTTTCCAACAGGGCTTGCCGGATTGGCTGCCCTGAGGCTTTGTGCTTCCAAGCAACTGAAACGGCCCCACCCCTAGGAAAGTGGGAAGGTGCCTTTATGGAGTCGCTGTGCCCTTGGTCCACTGAGCTCAGTGTGGTTTCGTGATGAGGTTTCCGGGGACATTTCCAGCCCTACTCAGAGATGCTGCCTGGAGCTGACCCTGGGACCTTCTGCATGCAGAGCCACTGGACTACCAAGGAGCGGGGGAGGGGCACGTGGCACTCAGCAAGGGGTGATCTCCGCTGACCTGCAGCCTCAAAGCTGAGAGAAAGGCTGGTCGCTCGTCACAGGTGCTTCAGGAGGCAGCAGAGTTGCCACAACCGGGGATCTAATGTCAAAGCCTGAGCAAATGTCTCATGAGGACGTAAGAAGCGCCTGCTGGATCAGGCCAACCTAGTCCAGCATCCTGTTCTCACAGGGTCCAGCCAGATGCTCCAGTGGGAAACCTGCAAGAAGGATCCGAGCACAAGAGCAACTCTTCCCCTGTGGCTTCCAGGAACTGGTATTCAGAAGAAACCAGAGGCCTTTCTCCTGGGCACGGTCGGCCAATTGGTGCCAAAGAAGGATAGAACTTTCTTTATGTATGCTACGACAGCAGCAAGAATACTTATTGCAAAGTATTGGAAGACACAAGATCTACCCACTCTGGAAGAATGGCAGATGAAGGTGATGGACTACATGGAACTGGCAGAAATGACCGGCAGAATCCGAGACCAGGGAGAAGAGTCGGTGGAAGAAGATTGGAAGAAATTTAAAGACTACTTACAGAAATATTGTAAAATTAATGAATGTTAGAATGATGTTGGATAAAAAGTTAAGTGGTTTTTAGCTATAATGCTATAAGGAATATGAAAAAATGGATTATTAACAGGTAAAAATTTAATGTTATAATATTTTACGATTAAAGATTAGGATAAACAAAGAGGGAAAGGATTTGCTGAACTAACAAATTGAACTGGAATACAAAAAAGGGAGGTGTGAGGAGGTCCGGGAAACAAGCAAATGAAAGATAAGTAATGGAAAGATGGAATTGTTTTTAACTATTTTTATTTTGTATTTTTCTTTTTTCATTTTGTAATACTTTGAAAATTTTAATAAATATCTTTTTTAAAAAAACACAGAAGCACTTCTGCCTCCAGCTGTGGAGGAAGAGCACAGCCATAGTCTCTTGATGCTGCTCTCCAAACTCCACTCCCAATAAGCTGCAGACAGCCCTGTTCACCACCTATCTAACCCAGGACTCCCAAGTCCCATCACTCCCAGCCAGCACGGCCAATGGTCACAGCTAGGCCACAGGCCACTACATCTGGAAGGCACCACTTCTTTTCCAAATCCACTTCAACCTGCAGCCACAACCACACCCTGCGGCAGTGAGTTCCACTGATCAGCTAACACTTGAAGCCGCACTCCCGGTCAAACAATTCACTGTGTAACCCTAGAGGGGAGGAGTTGGGCTCGCAGGCACACAATCCGTGTCGCTTCCCAACTGTACAGAAGAAGGTAAGAAGAGCCAGGTTGCTGGATCAGAACAAAGGCCCACCGAGTCCTCTGCACCTGTGGACAATGTCCACGAACTGCTACATCTGGCAGCAGCAACCAATTCCCCAAATAACTGCACCCTGTGCAAAGAAGCTTTAGCTTGCCCTGACTCTCACACGAAAATTCCTTTAAAGCGCAATGTTCCTTCTCAAAGAATTCCAGACACTGAAGTTTACTCCTTACAGAGTTACAGTTCCTGGCAACCCTGAAAAAACTACACTGCCCACAATTCTATGAGGAGGCAAAACTTGCCTTAACTGTTCTTTTAATGAATCACGTGTAGGCAGACAATGGTAACTGGCTAACCTCAAGTCCTAGTATTATGCTAAGAGGGGTAAAATTAGGCCCGCCATATGTCCGGGTTTTCCTGGACACATCTGGGAATCGGGCTTGAAAATGGCGCAAAGGCGGATTTTTGCTGAATTTGCAAAATGTGCAGGAAAACCCAGACATGTGGCAAGCAGGGTGATTTAAAAAAAATGAAATCGCAAAAATTCTTTAAAAGCACAAAAATGTTTCTATTTGGGGGGGGGGATTGTTCACAGAAAAAACTCAACAACTCTATCTGGATTTTCACTTCGGGGGAAATGGCAACCCTAAGTAAACTTCTCTCCATTTATCTACTTTGTCCACACAATGGTTAGTTTTCTAAATCTTTCATGCGGATCCTTGGAAGCGCCTCCTAGGATGTAGGCTTGACTCTTGAAAAGGAGTGAGACTAGAACTCAGGGACATTCAGTGAAGTTAAATGCTGGAAGACAGATAAAAGTCATTCTTTAAACAGTGGTAAAGGTAAAGGGACCCCTGACAATTAGGTCCAGTCGTGACCGACTCCGGGGTTGCGGCGCTCATCTCTCTTTATTGGCCGAGGGAGCCGGCATACAGCTTCCGGGTCATGTGGCCAGCATGACTAAGCTGCTTCTGGCAAACCAGATCAGCGCATGGAAATGCCATTTACCTTCCCGCCGGAGCGGTACCTATTTATCTACGTGCACTTTGACGTGCTTTCGAACTGCTAGGTTGGCAGGAGCAGGGACCGAGCAACGGGAGCTCACCCCGTCACGGATTCAAACTGCCGACCTTCTGATCGGCAAGTCCTAGGCTCTGTGGTTTAACCCACAGTGCCACCCGCATCCCTTTTAAACAGTGGGGCACAGCTAAACTAGGGCACTCTCTCCCACAGGAGGCAGGAATGGCCACCAACCTAGATGGCTTTCAAAGAGGCTTCGACAAAGTCCTGGAGGAGAGGGCCAGATGGCGATGCTCTGCCTCCACAGTTGCAATTTCTGGAAACAGCAGGAAGGGAGAGGGCTCTTGTGCGCAAATCCTACTTGCAGGTTTCCCCAAAGGGGCATCTGAGTCAGAACTGGATGTTGAACTAGACGGACCATTAGCCTGATCCAGGTCAGAAGGCTCTTCTTCCCTCCTCAAGCAGGACATTTTGGGCGCTGCTTTCACTACATCCACCTTCCCTCCTCCACCATCATGTCCTTTAGCCCTCTGGCTTGGCCCCTGTGAGCGCACGATGCTGGACCAGACAGTGGCGCCCCGGGAGCCCCAGCCGCCTCCTGCCCGCCCCCTGCCCACCTCACCTGCGCCCCCTGGAGCTCGGCCTGCAGCTCGGCCACCTCCTCGTCGTGGACGTGGCGCAGGAAGGCGATCTCGTCCAGGAGCGCCTCCACCTTCTTCTCCAGCTCCAGGCGGGCCAGGGCGGCTCGGTCGGCGTCCTTGCGCGCGTCGCGCAGCGCCAGCTCGGCCTCCTGGCGCCGCGCCGCCTCGTGGGCCGCCTGCTCGCGCAGCCGCTGGAGGGCGCGGCCCAGCTGCTGGCTCTCCAGCGCCGCCTGGTCGCCGTCGTGGCGCAGCGCCTCCACCTGCGAGCGCAGCTCGCGCACCTCCTGCTCGTACAGCGCCTGCAGGCGCGACGGCTCGGCCTGCCGCTGCCGCAGCGCCGCCACCTCGGCCTCCAGCAGCCGGTTGTGCTGCTCCAGCTGGTGCACCTTCTCGATGTAGCTGACGAAGCGGTCGTTGAGGCCCTGCAGCTGCTCCTTCTCGTTGGTGCGCACGATCTTCAGCTCGTTGCTCAGCGCGCTCGGCCCCGACGCCGCCGCCCCGACGCCCCGCAGCGCCTCCAGGTGATCCAGCGAGCTGCTCGGCGCCGGCAGCTTCCGATACGACGACGAGAAGGCCGAGGGGCCCGGGGCCCCCGACGCCCCCGCCCGGCCCGCCGTCGAGCCGTACGCCAGGCTCCGGCCCGCGAAGGGCTTCTTGCCGTAGGACGGCGCGGCGAAGAGCAGATCCCGGCTGTAGCTCATGGCCGCGGCTGCGAGGGGGTCCGGGCCGCCGCGAAGGGGGCGATCCTGCGCGAGGAAAGAGGGTCGCGTCGCCGGCGGAGGCTCTTCGACAGCGGGCGGGGAGCGCGGCACGCCGGCGCTTTTATCGCCGGGCTGGCGCCAATCCTAGCGGCGCAGCGGCGACAAAGTCACGTCGGGCAGCCAATTGCAAAGGCGAGGAGGGGGCGCGGGGGGGGGGAGGAGGAGGATTTTTCTCGCTGGCTGCCGCCGCCAAGAGCTTCATCAGCAAATGTGGCGGAGATCAGCCTTGACCGAGCCCCGAAATCTAGATGGGGAGGGCGGGGGTCGTGGCAGGAGGCGGACGAGCCCTCGGGTCTCCCACGCGGCTGCGTTGCGAAAGGCGGATCGGGCCCCGAGGCGGAAACCGCAACCGTGGGAGCATCGGGGGCTCCCTTACCGAATCAGGCTACGTTGGTGCACCCAGCTCAGTGTCCTCTGCTCTGACCGGCAGCGGCTCTCCTGGCTTGCACAACGGGGTTTGTCCATTCCGGGCTGCACCTGTCTGCCTGCAAAGCCGCTGCTCTCCCGCTCAGCCGTGGTCCGTCCAGGGTACCCAAGACTTGACTCCCAGTGAGCCTTTGCATGGCGTTGCTCTGGCAGTGATAATGGGGTGGCACCGTGGCAGGGAGTAATATTCCCAAGGGAACCTGCTTGTAGTTGCCACTTTTCCTGCCGGGAGTCGGAGCTCCCCTAAAGCCCTGCTGGGACACAGGCAACAATCCTGCTGGTCCTGATTTCCTCTTGCTCCCAACAGCTGCCAGCCGGGTGCCTCTGATATGTTCCGGGGAGGCAGGAATCCTGCATGTTAAATGTCCTTTCAGGCTCAAACTTTGATCCCCTCCATCCAATTCTTTGCTCATCTCAAAAAAAAAACAGAGCCATGTGTAGTGCATCAGAGCATGTACAGAGTGTTGTTCCCACATCACCAATGGCTTGTTCCCATGTTAAGTTTACACAAGTGCAAGCTGTCTCTACACATGTACAAATGTATGTGTGAAACACTTGATTTGACCATGATGGCTCTGCTTTGTCTCCACTGTCAGAGACGGTAAATGCTTCTGAATATTCGTTGCTGGAAACCACAGGAAGGGAGATGGATCTTGTGCTTGGATCCTGTTTGCAGGTGTCTCATTGGGGCAGCTGGTCAGCCCCTGGGAGAACAGGATGCCGGAGCAGATGGGCCACTGGCCTGCTCTGATGTTCTTCACCCTTGCAGAGCCTGCTGGTGTCACTGTGGCCCATTCTAGCTGCACATGTCCACAGGATCAGAGGAAAGAACCTTGGGGGGGAGGGGTGTTTTCTTCTCTTTGTGTGTGAGAGACTACAAACGATTTTACCATGCAACCAAGAAATCAATACTATTTAAAAACCAGGATGAAAAGATGGCTTCTTCACATCCTGCTTCCCTGCAGCAGCCGATGGCGCCTCCCCCACCCCCCACCCCCCACGGCCCAGCACCATCTGTCCCTCCCCCATTTAATTTCCTCTTCTTTGTGCAATAAATCAATGCTCCTTTCAAGAAGGCATCTAAAGCCTGGCTTTGGTCGGGGGGGGGGGGAGAGAGGTAATGCTGAATCAGCCATATCCGTTGCACCTGCTCATGATGGCCAGAGCCTGGCTGGGGTGTGGAGGGGATGGACCAGTGATTTAATGGGCTGTAAAGCCAGGGAGCTCCTCGTCCCTTGGAACGGAAAAGTCCAAGTGAGGAAGCCTCATTGCAAGGAGAGATGGCGGAATGACAGCTTAACTCTCCCACCTTCCACAGCCACCCTCGTCTAGCCCCCGGGAGGCAGGGCCCACCCAGGTGTGGCGCCTGTGGGTCCATGTCTGCCCCCAGAAACCGTCCTTGGGGCCCCTAGAGTCACCCCTCCCTGATGAAATTAGGCTCAGCGGAAGTGTTCTCTGGTAGCCCAGGGTATGTGTGCTCTGCATTTCATATATAATATTAAAAAGGTAAAGGGATCCCTGACTGTTAGGTCCAGTTGTGGCCGACTCTGGGGTTGCGGCGCTTTCGAACTGCTAGGTTGGCAGGAGCAGGGACCGAGTAACGGGAGCTCACCCCGTCGCAGGGATTCGAACAGCCGACCTTCTGATCAGCAAGCCCAAAGGCTCTGTGGTTTAACCCACAGCTCCACCTATATATAATATTAGTATATTTCTATTACAGTGGTACCTCGGGTTAAGAACTTAATTTGTTCTGGAGGTCCGTTCTTAACCTGAAACTGTTCTTAACCTGAGGTACCACTTTAGCTAATGGGGCCTCCCACTGCCGCGCGATTTCTGTTCTCATCCTAAAGCAAAGTTCTTAACCCAAGGTACTATTTCTGGGTTAGCAGAGTCTGTAACCTGAAGTGTCTGTAACCCAAGGTACCACTGTATTCAGGTTTTTGGTAAGCCACTTAGATCATTGGCTGTTTTAAAAAGCAGGATATACATAATTTAAATCAGCATCATCATTATTCTTCTCTCACTGGAAGCTGGGGTCACTTCTTATTTCTTATATTTAATAAGTGAGAGAAAGAATTCCAGCTTAGAACCAAGAGATTTTCTTTTTAGGGGAGGGAGAGAGAGAGAGAGTCAGAAATACAGAAGCAAGACACCAACGACCAGACATGACCCCGTCTGCTGTCAGGTTGATGAATCTAAAAAGCATCAAAAGTGGATGTTGAAACATCTTTGTTCAGCAGGGCAGGAAAATAAACTGCAGTGAGAGGGCAAAAGGATGAACTCGGCTATATTTCACTGCTCGCAGGAGGAGCAGCCGCTGCAGCAGCGCCGCCACCGACGCCTGGCTGGGCACGGGCAGCCTCCGCCGCCACCATCCCCTCGGCCAGCCACAGGCGGCGGCTGCTTCTGCCGACTGGGAGGGAGGAGAGCTCCGAGGGGCCTCGACGCGCCCTGCCCTCCCCAAAACCCTCCGAGAGGAAGCCGGCGGGCGAGGGTCTCCCGGCGGAAGGGGGCGCCGCTGGCTCCGGCTCTCAGCGCAAGTCACAGCCGTGGGGCGAGGATGGAGCGTGGCTGGAAGCCCCCGGACCCAGCCGGGAGGAGGAGAGGCGCTCGCCAAGCCCGGATCTGGAGCGCCTCGGAGCGCGGGCTCCACCTACAGCCCAAGGAGAGGAGGGGGCGGGGAGGCGCCCGAGGGGAGGGGGCTTCGGCTGCCTCGGCCCGCGGGGGCTCCGCAAATAATAAATTTAATAAATTCCTGCTGAGCCTTTGGGGGGGGAGTCCTTGGCTCCTTCGCTCGCCCCCAGCCCCAGTGGTGTAGCGTGGGGGGGTGCAGGAGGGGCCGGCCGCACCGGCCGCAACATCTGGGGGGGGGCGCGCTCGCACTCGAGTGCTAAAATCCACGGGTTAGGGGGTGCAAATTACTTGCCTTGCCCCGGGTGCTGACAACCCACGCTACGCCACTGGGCAGACCACCTCTGCATTACAAAGATATCTGCAAACATGACATGAAGGCTGGCAAGACTAACCCTGCCATGTGGGAATCCCTTACAGACATCCACGGTGGCTGGAGACAGACAGGTCATGTATGCATAGCAGTGACGACAGGATGAATGACCACTGGGAGGAGCTCAGAGAAAAAACACACCATGTATCAGCTAGTTAGTAGCTGGAACAAGATCACAGAAGGGAATCTGGGATATTTGCCCGGTGCTAATGGCGGAAGGCTAGATCTCCCTTTGTCTTGGATGTGACGCACTGAGATTTGCCCTTGTGTGCAGAAATTGAAAGTGGCATCTTAGAGGATTTTGGATTACAACAGAAAAATAAAGAAGAAAACTAAAAATATTTCACACAGAACTACAATGGACTAACCTGCCCGCTTGCTAAACTAATTCAGAGGCTGCTAAAAATGAAGGATCAACATCGGAAATGTTTTATTCGAACTAGTTGGACTAATTAAGAAATGCAGTATGATATTAGATCACCACTCCCCAAACTTCAGAGCATGGGAAGTCACCCAAAAGAGATATAATTTGGCATTGAATATTTGGCTTTTAAAAATTGTATTATAATTTGGAATGTTTTAATGTGGTTTGTATTGGATTGTTAAATTGGAAAATTTAATAAATATTGTATTTTTAAAAAGAGAGAAAAGAGACACCATGATGCAGCACCATGGGACGCCTTCACCTGCCCAAGCTGCAACAAAACATGTCTCTCCCGTATTGGTCTCTGCAGCCACAGCAAGCGCCGCAAACTTCCAACAGCTCAGTCTCACCCCCAAAGGTGCACCCCTCCATTGTCTGCCAGGACAGATGAATGCCAACCATATGTATTTTATTGCATTACAGTTTGAATTCTATGGAATGCAAATAGTAATACAATAAGATACAGTGTAACCAATAAAAGAAGCAAATTTGAATTCTATTAAAATCATACATCATGGAGGGCACAAGGAGAAGGGGACGACAGAGGACGAGATGGTTGGATAGCGTTCTCGCAGCTACCAGCATGAGTTTGACCAAACTGTGGGAGGCAGTGGAAGACAGGAGTGCCTGGCGTGCTCTGGTTGAGGGGGTCACGAAGAGTCGGACACGACTAAATGACTAAACAACAACAACAACAAAATCATACAGCTAGATGCATACAGCTAGGGCATACTTACTACTGCTACAACAGGCAGAAGAATCACCAGCAATTTTCAGGTGATCCACGTGGGGGGGGGCAAGGTTTGTGAGGCAAAAAGGGCACTTCAGCACAATAGTCATTATCAGCTGGGTGGCTTGGGGGAGAGGGAAGTCTACCTCTGCTGCTATACCAGACTCCACTATCACAACTATTTCCCCCCGTGTAGGAGGAATCGCAGAATTGTAGAGTTAGAAAGGACCTCAGGGGACATTGAATTCAGCCCCCTGCAATATGGGCAGGTAGCCATTCAACCTCTTTTTAAAAACCTCGAATGAAAGAAGAAGAGAGTCGGTTCCACAGTCAAACAGCTTTCACCACCATAAAGATCTTCCAGATCTCCTTTCTTGAATCCATTGCTTTGGGTCCTGCTCTCTGGAGCATCCCTTAAGTTACTTATATTTCCAATTGCAGCAACCAAAATGTTCAGTAATATAGCAGAGATCCCTAATTCTCCTCTCTTGCACTGCACATAATAAAGGCTTTTTTTGTTTCATTCCCCTTGCTATTTCTAGTCCAGTGATTAGTTTTTCTATCAGCCATACATTGATTTTTTTTACACCATGTGATCAATGGCACACCCTGTAGGAATTCCCAGAATCTAGCAATTACTAGCCTATTGCAAGCAATCTTATTATAGCAATGTTAAGCAATCTCTATCGCCTCCAAAAAACAAAAAAATAAGGAGAGGAGGGACGGAGAAAAAGATGGACATGATTGACTTCCTTTAGTAATGTTCTCCTTTGAAATGTTTGAGATAACTGGTTAACTTCATTGCATTAAATGTGCCTTCTGTAGTTGACAGCCTTTGTGATGTTTTATTTTGAAATCGTTGAGATAATATTTCAAAGGTAAAGGTAAATGGACCCCTGACCATTAGGTCCAGTCGTGACCGATTCTGGGGTTGCG